CCACTTGTTGCTCTACCCCACTGTGGCTGAGCTGGTACTTAAACTGCAAGACAAAGTTCCCTTTAGCCTCCCTCTCCTTTTCTTAAGCAGAAATCCCTTCCCATAGCCACCACAGCTTGGAAAGTGCTAGGTCACATCCAAAGCACATCTCCGAATCTCACCAAAGGCCCACAGGGAGTACTGCCTGGGACCACTACTGATTATTCAGGACCCAAAAGCTCTTTAGTCAGCAGTGATGAAATCCTGCCAGGATTGGGTCCTTTCCTTCAAAGCAGTGGGTTCCCTTCTGGCCCATCATGTGTCTGGAAATGTCTACAAGCTAGGGCCTGGATTTGGGGTCTGATATGGTTAGGCTTTGTGTCCCCACTCAAATGTTATTTTGAATTGTAATCCCCACGTGTCAAGGAAGAGATCTGGTGGGAGGTGATTGAATCACAAGGGCGGTGTCCCCCATGCTGTTCTTGTGATAGTGAGGTCTCACAAGGTCTGATGGTTTTATAAGAGCTGACAGTTCCTACTTTATGCATTCACTCTTTCACCTGCCACCACGTAAGATGTGCTTCTTCCCTTTCTGCTGTTGCTACAAATATCCCGTGGCCTCCCCAGCCATGCGGAATTGTGAATCAATTAAACCACTTTTCTTTATAAATTACCCAGTCTTGGGAAGCTCTTAATAGTGGTATGAGAACAGACTAACATAGGGTCTCAGCTCTCTGCCTCGTGCTCTATCTTACTGTGGCTGTGCTGGTATCCAAGTTGCAAGACACAGTCATCTTTACTCTTCCCTCTCCTCTCCTCCAGCAAAGGAAGGAGTCTTCCCTGGAGCTTCAAGCTATATTGCCTGGAGTTGAATGAGGAGTGACAAAAGTACTCCCTTGGCCACTCCAACTGGTGTCTCAGTGAGACATATGCCCCCAAAGTCCACTGGCTCCAAGCCCAGCACAGCACCAGGACTTGCCCAGGAATTGTAATGCTTGTGGCCTAGACTGCCTTTCAAGTTTATTTGGAGCCCCAGAGCACTTTAGCGCCCTTTAGTCAGAACTCAGTTTCCAACTGCTGGGATGAGCAAGTCTCTACTAGTTAGGGTTGGTCTAAATGATCCCTTTGTGGGTGCTAGCTGAATTCCACCTAATATTGCTTTTCAGTGTGACAAGGCAGCATGGAGTTCTAATGCAAAATCCCACAATCACTGTGGTCTTCCTTCCCCAAGTACACAGATTCTCCACACCATGTGGCAACTGTTGAGGGAACGAGGGAGGGGTGGTGGCAGCAATTCAAGACTGTCTTTTCTACCGTTTTATGCCTTTTTCAGTGATATGAAGTTAAAACCAGGCACTGTTCCCTTTAGTCTTGAGTTTCTGAGATTCAATTTACTAATACTTTATCGAAGATTTTTGGATCTGTGTTCACAAGAGGTATTAGTCTATATTTTTCTTGTAATGTCTTTATCTGGGTTTGGTATCAGGATAATACTGGCCTCACAGATGAGTCAGGAAGTTTTGCTCTCCTCAGATTTTCTGGAAGATATTGTAAAGCACTGGGATTATCTCTTCCTTCATGTTTGGTAGAATTTGTAAGTGAAAGCATCTGGGCCTGGTGCTTTCTATTTTGTACAGTATTAATTGTTGATTCCATTTCTTTAATAATATAGACCCATGTGAATTAGCTATTTCATATTGCGCAAGTTTTGTTAGATTGTGTATTTTATATGATTATTTTTTAGATAGTGTATTTTAAGAAATTAGTCAATTCCATCTAAGTCAGCAACTTCATGGGTATAGAATCGCCAAACTTTTTTATTCCTTCCTTTACAGTCTGCCATGGCAGTTTTTGCTTCTCTATCTAATTTAATGTGGGCCATGACTTTCCACAAAACTCCAAGAGCAATCCAGCATTTTACCAGAATTATCTCCAAGGGCTCTTGCCACATGCTACATTCTGTATCATGGGACAGTAACTTCATAGTAAAAAACATGTAATCACTCCCCTATTACTTTTCCCCAGGACATGCCTAACTGATTCAGGCTTCAATGTAATCCTAGTATTGGTCTAGTGGCCAGAAGGAGAATTGAGGGTAAATGCTAAGGAGAATCAACACTTTATTGCTAACTGCCTAATAGTCTTCAAGAAAGGAAGTCTCTGTATTTTTGCAATAGAGAATTGGTGCCATTTCCACAAACCTAGAGAGCACAAGAGGAATTTTTTTTTTCTTTTTTTGAGGAGTCTCACTCTGTCACCAGGCTGTGCAATGGCACAATCTCCGCTCACTGCAACCTCTGCCTTCTGGGTTCAAGTGATTCTCCTCCCTCAGCCTCCTAAGTAGCTGGAACTACAGGCATATGCCACCACCCCCAGCTAATTTTTGTATTTTTAGTAGAGACAGGTTTCACCATGTTGGCCAGGATGGTCTCGATCTCTTGACCTCATGATCCACCCGCCTCAGCCTCCAGAGTGCTTGGGTTACAGGCATGAGCCAACGTGCCCAGCCAGGAGAAATATTAATGCTCAAGTACATCTACCCAGATAACCTTCTATCAAATCTTGCAGTCTCACTCCTTCTCTATCAGGGAATTATCTTGAGCATAGAAAACTTGGCTAGGCTGAGAATTCCCCTTTCTCTGAAGTTCTGCCACCCCTAAAAATTAGGTCCTGGGTCTGATCTTCAGTTGCATCTCTCTTCCACTACCAAGAAATGAGGTCATTGTGAAGGCTACCTAAGCAGCACCCTAGCTCTCACATTTTGCTTTGAATTGGTGGCAGATGACTGGGCATGGTGGCTGATGCCTGTAATCCCAGCACTTTGGGAGGCTGAGGCAGGCAGATCACCTGAGGCCAGGAGTTTGAGACCAGCCTGACCAACATGATGAAACCCCATCTCTGCTAAAAATACAAAGTTAGCTGAGTGTGGTGACACATGTCTGTAATCCCAACTACATGCAAGGCTGAGGCAGGAGAATTGCTTGAACCCAGGAGGTGGTGAGCCGAGATCACACCATTGTACTGCAGACTGGGGAACAAGAGCGAAGCTCCCTCTCAAAAAATAAAAATAAATTGGTGGTAGATTGTCCTGAGTCTATAATTTTCTTTTCAAAATTCTGCAATAACCATCCAATTTCCTAGTTATGGAAATCATTCTCTTCTATGTTCCCAATGCCATACTTTACAAACCTACGCAACCTCTTTAATAATATCCTATCCCAGTTCTCACGAGTGAATGTCTCAGCAGTTGTCCTCTACTGCATACCACAAAAGGCTATCAGAACTGGTGATGAGGTACATTGTCATACATCCAGAAAGTGATCCAAGTTAGGAGTCCCATTCCTAGAGTCTGCTTCCTGGAAACACTTCTGGAAATGACTGCATTAGGTTGAGCTCACTAGACACAGAGCTTGAGACAGGGTTTGTAATGCATGTGATCTGAGAGAGTGCTTTTCAGGAAAGTATTCCTAGATAGGGAGAGAAGGAAGCATAACAGGAAAGGATAAAGAATCAAGCAAGGATATGTTTTCTGGTAAAGGCTAGCTATGGCTTAATCCAGAGGGGAGGCTCAGAAGCATAAGCCACACCACAGTGTTGACCCTTGTTGAGGTAAAGAATCCAGCCTTTCATAGCCCCATGTTAGTCATTCACTGTCTAAGGACCATTCTCAGAGGGGGTATAACTTCCCAGGGGTGATGGTTCTCATTAGAAGATGGCAATTCTCAGAAGCATTTGACATTGTTAGCAGTTGACACGCAGCATCTGGAGGTGTGGGTGCACTGGCTTGTTAAATGGGGATCTGGGTAAGACATCATTACATTAGAAGTGGTAAAAAGTTTTTTCTATACTTAATGCTGTGAAAACTGGATACCCAGTTGACTGAAAAAAATATTGAATTATCTTCATAACATATTAAAACTTCAATTCCAAGCAGATTATAAATATACATATTAAAGGTGACACAATAAAATTCCCAGAAAAAAAAGTATGCTATCTTCATATTCTTAGAATAGTATAAAATTTCTCGACCATCACATAAAAAAAGCATATCCTTAAAGAACATGATTGGTGAAATTAATACTTTTGCACATTTAAAGACATCATTAAGAGAATGAAAAGGCAAATCACAGAATGGGAGAAGATACAGGCACTACAGATATCTGACAAAATATTGATCAGAATATATGACATTCCTACAAAGTAATGTGAAAAAGGCTAACAACTTTATTTTAAAAACTTTTTTTTACAAAAGATATGAACATGCTCTTCATAAGAGAATATGACTTTCAAACATATGAAAGGGCTCTTAAGCTCATTAATCAAGAAAATTTGAAACCACTGTGTATCCATCTAGGTGACTAAAATTAAAAAGACTAACAATAATAAGTGCTGACTAGATTGTGGAGAAACTGGAACTCTCCTACATTGCTTCTGGGAGGATAAATTGTCATGACCATTTGAAAAACCATTTAGCTATATGTACAACAAGAGAATACACACACTAGATGATACAGGAATTTCATTCATAGGTAAAATACTCAACAGAAATGTGTATATATGCAGACAAAAGAGCACGTGCAAGAATGTTCATAGTAATGTTATTCATAACTGAAAACCAGAAACCAAAATCCCCCTGTGGGGTAAAATAGGTAAGTATATCTATATCATGGAATTCTAAACAGTAATAAAAATATAAACAAATCACTCTCACATACAACAATTAAATTAATCTCACAGAAAAAAATTATAGCATACAATTCCATTTAAATGAAGTGTAAGTTGTTACCTCTGGGGAACAAGAGAGAATCATTATTAGGAACAAGGATGAGAGGATTGTGTGGATGTTGGTAATGTTATGTTTCTTCACAATCATTTTGTAAAAATTCATCAAGCAGCACAATGGGGATTTATGCCTTTATCTGTATGCATTTTATGTTTTAGTATAAAATGTTATTTTAAAATAAAATACAAAGGACTTGTAATCAGTACACGGTGATTTTCTGAGTCAGCCCAGCACAACCTTTAAAAAATATGTATCAGGTCTCATGCTAAAATCCATATTAATTACAGTTGGATAATTCTTTGTATTTTACAAAGCCTTTTCATACGTTATCTTTGTATTAACGTAATGTAATGGTAAACCAGGACTAGAACATTTCTGAAGTGCAGGGGAACCAGAGCCCAGCTATGCCCACACAAAACCTGTGTGAAGTTATCTCATGATTTGAGAGGGAAAACTGCACAAGAAGTAAAATGCTGCTAACTTTTTTTAATCTCTCGAGTGTATCCAGAGAAGTCCAAGTTTATTTTTCTCATCCTTTCGTCATGTTTTCCAGAGTCTTTTTCCCTTTCTCTTTTTTACTCTCTCTTCCTTTTCTTCTCCTCTGAGGTTCCCTCCTTCTTTTCTTCCATTTTCTTCCTTCTTAGGTCTCCTCTACAGTAGTTCCATGGAGATAGTAGAGACAGTGGTGAAAATATCACCATTAAGGCTATTCATGGGGAGAATGCTTTATTCTTTTGTTGTTTTCCATTTCAAACAGTAGCGTTAATTCTTTATCTGTCTAAACATTCTCATAAGAAATATGGTAGAGCACATGATATAGGTAGTTCACAGTCCACCAAAAATTCATGGTCTCCTATCCATAGTGCAGAGATTCTTTGAAATGTGACTGCCCAGGTAGGAACTACGTTTTCCAGTCTTCTTTGCAACTAGGTGAGACCATATAAATTGAGTTCTAGCCCATGAACTCAATATTTCCACTCATGCCACGGAAATGTTGCATGCCATGTCCAGTTCTGGTCCATAAAATTATTTTCTCTGGCTTACTTTCCCTAGTAGGGGGAAATCCTTGGTGAGCAAACCTTGGTGCATCCATATACTGACATTGGCGAGGCCTCTATCAACCTAGATTTCTAAATGACTATGTGGAGGAAAACCGCTGCCCACATTTTCCCCTGCCTGCCACTGGCGTATGGACAAGAAATAAACTTGTATTATATTTGAGCCTATATACTCTGGGATATATTTGTTAAAGCAATTGGCCCTGATGCAGTCTTTTTGGAATCTTTAGTGAAGCTTGCCAGATTATTTTTTCCAAGCCCTAGGCCTGATAGGTGGTAAAATTTCCGTGACTATTCCTGCTCATAGGGGAGACTAAATTTTCCACTCCATGGATGTCATTGAAAACATTCTTCCTCAAATAGTTTGTTCTCTGAAACAGGGAACAGAGCAGTTGTGTATCATATCTATTCATCAATGAGTCAAAGAAAAGGCCTGGGAAAATGCCAATTAATTCTTGTAGCCTAAATAAAGAAGAGATGTCACATCTTTTCTCTTTAATTCTACAGATCAGTATCTTTACCAACGCCTGTATGAGATGGCTTAACTAAGGAACCATCAGAGGCCTCTGAACAGAGTGCAATAACTGAAAATATGATGGGGCTTAGCAACATTTCATTCAGAAATACAGTGGTTTCCTGAAAACCCAGCTTCAGAATTTTGTGGTTTGGAAACCAAAGACAAGGCTTGTTTTGTAAGAATGTTTTGTTTTTAAAAAAAAAAAAAAAAATACTGAGTAGTTTGGTGAGTGCCCCACTACCCAAGCCTCCTGCTTCGTAAAACAATGCCAAGGAATTCCAGTGGTCTGGTACACATTTGGCTTGGCAGGTGCTTTATGCTTAAAGACACATGAGACTTTGTCAGATTGGATCAAACTGCTCTAATCATAACCTTGGAAAACCATCCCAGGGATATCTTAACTCCATCCCCAGGATATCTTGGAATCTCTTGAAAAATTAATAAAGAATCGGGGGGTGGAAATCTCATAAAGTACTTATGACATGGTCATTAATGCCAAATGATTTTTATCATGACTAATTTTACTATAATATATACTGAGGGAACAAAAAATGATGTAGGCTATCATTTTAGACCATCACTGAACATAGGCCAAGGTACCCAAAGTGTAAACCTTTAATGAATATAGTAGTTTGTTGTGACGCCACTAAGATGTAAAGTGTCACTGATCTCCATGTGACTCCATTTGGCATTCCAACAGTTCCAGTGTTTATAGTTCAGAGATATCTAATCATGTGGTGGGGTACATTCCATAGCTCCATCTGACAGAATAATTCCAGTGTGTCATTTCATAGGAATACTGAACTAGACCCTAACTTGGCTAATACTTGGGTACTCCAAAATCCCAGTGGATTGTTTTTGATGGGAATCTGGCCCCAACAGCTCTGAAATGCTGGCACTTAACCTCTACAGCTAACCCAAGAACTCTCTATCCCAGATTTTATGTTTGAGCCAGTAGGTCATCCTGGACTAACAAATGTAAAAATACTTTGTTGAAGAAAAATGGATTTGATCAAAATTGAGGACTACAACTTCAGGCTAATGATCGTCACCAAAAGGCTTGTTCTTGTGCCTCAGAGCCACTATGCCTCCGTGATTGTAGGGATTGGCAAGGTCCACAGAAAGGACTTTGTACACGATCTCTAGTCACACACACACACACGCACACACACACACACACACACACGCATGCAAATGCACACACAGTTCTCTGAAATGGCTGCAGTACTGAAGTCATAAACTTCAACTGTCCTAAAAACAGACTACTTTCTCCACCAGAATTGTTAGAGGGATGAACAAACGAGTTTCACCATAGAATATAAAGTCCCTTTTGACATGTTTTAAATTAAGCACAGATTTCTTATCTTACGAAAGTAACATATGTTTATAATAAATCCAGAAAATATGAGTAATCTGAGATAAATTCATAATTGTACAACCTATAGATAACAACTATTAATATTTTTGATGCATATTTTTCTATCTCTTCATTATTCAGCATCATAACCACTACCCATAAGAGGCTATTGAGCATTATTAAGCACGTTAAATATAGCTTTTTTTTTTTTTTTTTGAGATGGAGTCTCACTCTGCAGCCCATGCTGGAGTGCAGTGGTGCAATCTCTGCTCACTGCAACCTCCACCTCTTGGATTCAAGCAATTCTCCTGCCTTAGCCTCCCAAGTCAATAGGATTACAGGCACGCACCACCATGTCCAGCTACTTTTTGTATTTTTAGTAGAGACAGGGTTTCGCCATGTTGGCCAAGCTGGTCTCGAACTCCTGACCTCAGGTGATCTGCCTTCCTTGGCCTCACAAAGTGCTGGGATTACAGGTGTGAACCACCAGTCCTAGCCAAAATACAGCTATTTTGAATTAAAATGTACTCTAATGATAAAATACTAACTGGGTTTCAAAAACTGTATCAAGAGGCCCAGCACAGTGGAAGAAAAAAAAAGTCTTTCTTTCTTGGTTTTCTAAAAGGTTTTCAAAATATATGACAATATTTGTCTTTCACCCAAAATAGAAAGATGAAAGAACAATAAATATTATTTACCATGGTGGCTATTACTAAAATATGGATTGGTACATCAATAGAATTAGTGGAATTGGCTTAGAACTTAAAAGCACAGTGTAAACGCACCTACTGTCCAGCTTTACTGAAAAGATCACATTCTACTTCAGTAAAGTACGTAATATCTTACTTTAACCCCAGAAATTGGATGCTGTTTAACTGTGCTCTATAAACATTGTGCATTGGTGGTATTCAGAGCATTTTAAATGTGGACAGAAATAAAATCCTAGAACCTTCATTGGTATTACATCCATTTTTAAGACAGTAAATAGAAGAGAAGTACCTACAAACACCCCCTCTCTTAAACATCTCTGGCTTTAAATCCTGCGCTCTTGTTTTCTGTTTTTCATTGAAATTTTTTGTTGTACCAGGTGAAATGTAGGTCAAGTTGATGGTAAGTGCTGGATAAAAATCTGTTTATACCAAAAGTAAATAGTAAAATCCTCCCAGCCTAACACTGTTTAAAAATATTTCTCCTGCCAACATGCTATTCAGGGTATCCCCAATAAATTTAATGTTGAGGAATTCTTAACATAGACCTCTCTGGATGCTAGACTTTAATCATAACTGCATAATATTCTCTTAGGGAAAGTTTATAAGAATTAAAATTCACAAGACCTTGTATTCCTGGGGATCAATGATGAGAAGCACAATTACAGTCTTATTCAGGTTTCTGTGCCTTGTGTTGCTATGCATTCAGTAAAGCCATAGAAAGAATCAACATGCAGCTAGGGGCAAAAGGTATGCTATGGACTTAAAGTTTGTGTCAACCCAAAATTCATGTGTTGAAGTTCTAATCCCCAATGTGATGGAATAGATGTGGAGACTTTGAGAGGAGGTAATTAGGTTTAGATGAGGTCCTGAGGTTGGAGTCGCCATAATGAGATTGATGCCTTTGTACAGAGGAAGGGACCAGAGTCCTCTCGCTCTCTGCCATGAGAACACAGCAAGAAAGCAGCCATCTGCAAGCCAGAAAGAGAACCCTCACCAGAAACAAAACCCTGCTGGCACCTCCATCTTGGACTTCCAGCCTCCAGAACTGTGAGAAACAAAGTATGTTGTTTCAGTCACCCAGTCCACAGTATTTTGTAATAGCAGCCCTAGTAGATTAAGACAAAGTGAAACTCCAGCACCGAGGACAAGTCAGGTACCACAAAGACCAACACCAACTCCAGGTGAAGTTGCCCCTAGTTCACACTAGAACCTATCAACATACACTGCTTTCTTAGGAGTGATTTTTGAACACTAGCTTACAAAAAAGCCTGTTATAGCAGTAGCAGAGAATGTGGTAGTAGTATAAAATTTAAGTTCTTTGAAATTCACAGATGAAATATTCAGTCCTTCTTCTGCTTGACTTGGGCCGATGTGCCAGATACTTTTAAAGCATCTGGAGTAGTGGGCAGTGAGGAGAGACAAAAAGAGCTGGACTTTTACAAAATCTCTTGAAAGATGTAAAAGCAAAAGACAAACAAAAACCCACGTATATGTTCATTTCAGGTATGTATATACAGTCATGGACTGCATAATGACATTTTGGTTAATGATACACCACATACAGAATGGTGGTCCCATAAAATTACAATGGAGTTGAAAAATTCCTATTGCCCAGTGACTTTGCAGCCATCTCAGAATCATAGTGCAATGCATTACTCACATGTTTTTGGTGAGGCTGGTGTAAACAAACCTACTGTGCTTTCAGTCCTTTAAAAGTATAGCACATACAGTTATGTATAGCACATAATAACGACAATAAGTGACTATGCTCCTGGTTTATGTATTTACTATACTATACTTTTTATTGGCATTTTACCATGTACATCATCTACTTATGAAAAAATGTTAACTGTAAAACAGCTTCATTCAGGTCATTCAGGAGGTATTCCCGAAGGTATTGTTCTCACAGGGGATGACAGTTCCATGCGTGATATTGCTCCTGAAGACCTGCCAGTGGCACAAGATGTGAAGGTGGGAGACAGTGATACTGATGATCCTGATCCTATGTAAGCCTAGGCAGATGTATGTGTGTGGTCTTAGTGTTTAACAAAACCGAAAAATTAAGTTAAAAATTTAAATAGAAAAAAAAGTATACAGCTAAAACATAAAGAAAGAAAATATTTTTGTATAACTGTGCACTGTGTTTGAGTTTTAGGCTAAGTATTATGACAAAACCATCAAAAGTTTAAAAAATCGAAAAGTTTATAAAGTAAAACAGTTATAGTAAGGTAAGGTTAATTTAGTCTCAAAGAAAGAAAAGTATCTTTTAGAAATTGAATGTAGCCTAAGTATACAGTGTTGATAAAGCCTACAGTAGTATACAGTAATGTCCTAGGCCTTCCCATTCACTCAACAGTCACTCACTGACTCACCCAAAGCAACTTCCAGTCCTGTAAACCATTCATAGTAAGTATCCCATACAGGTGTGCCACTTCTTATCTTTATACCATATTTTTACTTAAACTTCTCTATGTTTGGCTACATTTAGATACACCAATATTTCCCATTGTGTTACAGTTGCCTACGGTATTCAGTACAGAAACATGCTGTAGAGGTTTGTATCCTAGGAGCAACAGGCTGTACCATATAGCCTGGGTGCACAGTGGGCTGTCCCACCTAGGTTTGTGGAAGTGCACTCTATAATGATCACACGATGACAAAATCACTGAAGGATGCATTTCTCAGAAAGTATCCCCATCATTATCGTTAAGCAATACATACATATCTAGTTTGTTTGAAGATAATTTTTGCCAATTTAACCCCCAAATAAAATGTTTTTATACAATGTCCAAGCAAATAGGTATAGTCATTTTCGAGATGAAAGTAAATTGTGATTCTCAAAAATTCCTCCAGTATAGCAGCATAGTAACGATGACAACTCTTGCTTAAATGATTGTCATATGTGATCATTAGAGTCTGTGAAGTAGAATCAGTGAAATGTTCAGTGTGGGAGGAGAGTGTTCTAAAGTAACTCTAGGTCCTAGAGCAAGCCATCTTCTGGGCAAAGTCACCTGGCCTAGGGTAATCTTGGCCTGAATCAAAGGATACTTATCTGGCAGTACTCTTTTGGTGTTTCTGGAAGAAAAGTATCACTAAAAGTAAAGCACACACTGCCATACTTCCAGTGCTTCAACCACAATGGAAGAGAATGAAAATCCATCAAGGAAAAATATGTGATGTTTACTAAGAAGACATGAATCTAAAGCTCATAGATGCACAATCTTAATCTCCAGCCATTCAGTTCTAACATGTGCTAAAACCACAACTCTATTCCTGTTGAGAGTAGGACCTGTGTTGTTAAATGACAGCAGTTTTCCACAAGGACTCACCTGGGTGTGGTTCTAGCTCAGTCTCCACCTAGACAAGATCAGCTAAAGTTTTCCATGAAAATGTTGCTTGTGCTTAGAAAATAGGTAGCATAATAGTGAGAATATAAGGAAGGAAAAACCAAAAGAGTTCTCAGCTGCGGAGTTTGTCTAGGTTATGAGCCAGATAGATTGGAGGCCTCTAACACAGAGAACAGGAAATGGAGTGTGTCCCTCTAATAAAAATAGTATCAAATCCTTCCTGTGCATATTTTTAGAATAAATATTTTGCTGGCTTATGCGGATTTGAGTGCCCTTCACTATACTCTTTTGGAACAACCCTTAGCATGAGCTGAGCCACCTTTGCACCAAAAAACCTCAGTGCCCTGGCATACCGTGTTTTCTCAGTGTTATAAACATGTATTGTGTTTTATAATAAGTAGCAGAAAAATAAGGCAGTATGAGTGACCAGGGAGCAATGCATCACTGGGTTCAACCTAGGGTAGATCTACCAGAGCTGAGGAGACACCAAACTATGCCCCAAGATTGGAGGTCCCATTCTTTCAGTTTAGAAATGCTGTGGTCAAATCCCAAAGGGAGAGGCATCAAAGAAGCACCCAGTGAGGGGTGATGCTTCTGAGACTCCCCATTCTCCACCAGTACATTATGAAAGGAGTGAAGCCAAACCCTGAAGGAATATACCAGAGTTCTGAAATACAAGCACGCAAATCTAGGTTCCCTGCCCATCAGCACTCTTAGAGCCACAAAGCAAGGTCTCATTGAGTTCCAGCATTCCTTGGATACCTTCTATGAGCCAGGGTAGGTGCTGAGGAGAGACAGAGATAAATGAAGAGTAAAATGGGGTGGGTCCCTAGCCACAAGAAGCTCACCATCTAAAAGATTTTCTCACATGTTTTTGTTTAACAGTTTTATAGTTTTAGCTCTAACATTTGGATCTATGACCTATTTGGGTTAATTTCTGTTTATGATATGATGTAAGGGTCAAGGTTTATTTCTTTGTACACAACTAGCCAATTGCTTCAGCACCATTTGTTGAAAAGATCACCCTTTTTGCATTGGATTGCCTTGATACCTTTTCATAAATCGATTGACTATATACGCATGAGTCTATTTCTAGACTTTCTATTCTGTTCCACTGACTTTTTATCTTTACATCAAGACTACACCATCTTAGTTACCTTGGCTTTATCATAAATCTTGAAATTAGGCTGTGTAAGTCTTCCAATTTTGTTCTTCTTTTTCGAAATAGTTCTTTTCTTTTCTAGATCCTTTGCATTTTCACGTAAAGTTTATAACGAGTTTGTCCAAATTAAAAAATACTGCTGGTATTTTGACTAGGTTTGAGTTTAATTTATGTCAACTGGGGGAGAAATAACATTCTAATATTGACTGTTTCTACTTGTGGACATACAGAATTACTTTTCAGCCCCTATACCTGTGTCTTCCATCTTTCTAAGTATTTTTCTGGGGCTTTTAAACCACAGTATCTCTAATAGACACTGTTGTATAACATGCAGTTGTATTAAGGAAATAAATTATGTGTAATAAATGTCAAAATTAATAATACATCCAAGAAGTGGTATGAAAATGTATTATGTTTTATAACAAGTAACAGAAAACTAAGGCTGTTTTTGTGCTGATGTGCTTTTTTACTAAGAAATTTTTTTTTCAATTGATATGCTGTAAAGTCTTTACGTTTTTTCTCTTTTAATTGCATAAATAATTTGTCTAGTTGCACTTTTACTTGAAGGATATTCACCTTCACTTTCAGTCTTTCAGTCCCTGAAAGGGTACACCGTCTGCTTTAACATAAACTGTTAGCAAAGAGTAAAAACTGTAAAAAAAAAATCCCTGAAGAGTAAAAACTGATGGAAGCCTCAAGACTCCCCATCTAGATTCTTCCTAATGGATATAAGGAAAAAGTATCTCTTTGGATGCAGAGTGTGACATATGGCTAGAATTTCTGTTCAACAGTCTGTATAACATAGAACCAAAGAGTTGGAAAGAATACCCACCATAACTAACCCATAGAGCAATTCTGTTGCAAACCAGCTAATAATAAACCTTGTTAATAGACATTAGGACAGGTTTCCCTGTGCAGCCTCAAGTGTCTCATAGGAAAAGGCTGAACTTCAGTTAAATTTTAATAGACACGAAATTGCTTCAACTGCCCACACTTCCATTTTCTGAATTCCCAGTAGCCTCAGGCAGTTCTTCCTGCTTCCCGGAGTACCACCTCCTTGAAGTACTATGTCCCCACCCCAACAACGGCTCCATGCTTCTAGTATTTCACTCCAACAAATCCTAGAATTATAGGCTTTCTGTGCTGAGCAGGATCTTAGAAACCATCTATCCAATGCCCTTGTTTTACAAGCAGGAAAACAGAGGCCTAGGAGCGTAAAATACTTAGGCAAAGTCATATACAGTAATATGCTGATGCAGAAACTGTAGTAGCACTCAAGCTTTCTGTCATTTGCTGACTTCAAGAGCTGTCACAGAATACAGCATCACAGAAATTAGTTTTAGGTTCTAATTATCCTGGGATAGCTCTATCTATGTTTTCTTTTTAATTACAGAGGAATACACAAAAATTGTGTTTTATAATTTTTAAATAATGTAAATCATATAAAAGTTACTTTTGTTCCTACAGTACCTTACTCCCTCTCCTGATGTACTGAGAATAAAAATTCTCAGATTGATGTGTGTATCTTTCTCCCTGTGCATTTATATATAGATAACTTTTTTTGCACAAGCAAACATTTGATTTAGCCATTTCTGTGAATATTTAGATGTAAGGCACTAGCACCTCAGAAACTAATGTCAAAGAGGTTACGTTCTTAAAATAGTGAACACTCTAGTGGTCACCAATATCTGGTTTTATAATTTTTATTTATGTATTAGTTTGTTTGTTTATTTTGAGATGGAGTTTCGCTCTTGTCACCAGAGCAATTCTTCTACCTCAGCCTCCCAAATAGATGGGATTACAAGCGCCCACCACCACGCCCAGCTAATTTTTGTATTTTTTCGTAGAGACGGGGTTTTGCCATGCTGGCCAGGCTGATTTCAAGCTCCCAGCCTCAGGTGATCCGCCCACCTCAAACTTCAAAAGTGCTGGGATTACAGGCATGAACCACCACACCCAGCTAAGTTTTTTCTTTTGTTTCTAGATGATAAATAAAAATTGCATATATTTATGAGGTATAATGTGATGTTTTAATATTATGTGTATATTGTGGAATGATTAAATCAAGCTAATTAACATATTTACCACCTCATATATATTTTTTTTTTGGTGAAAACATTTAAGATCTACTCTGTTAGCAGTTTTTGAGTATACATTATTAACTATAATCAGCATCTCACATACAGATAATTTCATTTTTAAGAATTCTAATAATTAAAATTTTGCTTTATTTCTACATATAATTTTGTTTTTGAGGTGTGCTATTAGTCCATTCTCATGCCGCTATAAAGACATACCCAAGTATGTGTAATTATAATTTACCTGAGTGTGGGTAATTTATAAAGGAAAGAAGTTTGATGGCTCACAGTTCTACTAGGCTTGGGAGGCCTCACAATCGTGGCAGAAGGTGAATGAGAAACAAAGGCACATCTTACACGGCAGCAACCAAGAGAGTGTGTGCAGGGGAACTGCCCTCTAAGCCCTGGAGGGGCTGAAAATGGTGGAAAAGGACCAAGATGGGGGCTCCAAACTGACACCTCAGGGATGAGAGATCTGGACAGACTCACCAGACAGGTGGCCATTGCCAACAAGAAGTATTAGAGCAAACCATGCTGGGTTAATAAATTGCCTCATTCAGGAAAAAGAAAAAATTAGATCTCATGAGACTCATTCACTATCATGAGAACAGCATGGGAAAACCCACCCCCATGATTCAATTACCTCCCATGACGCATGGGCATTATGGGAGCTACAATTCAAGATGAGATTTGAGTGGGGACACAGCAACACCACATCAGATGTTTTTAATCAAAAAGTGTTGTCAGGCATGAGGGTTCAAGCCTGTAATCCCAGCACTTTGGGAGGCCAAGGCAGGTGGATCACTTGTGGTTAGGAGTTCCAGATCAGCCTGGCCAACATGGTGAAACCCTGTCTCACTAAAAACACAAAAATTAGCCAGGCATGATGGCAGGTGCCTGTAATCCTAGCTACTCAGGAGGCTAAGGCATGAGAATAGCTTGAACACAGGGGACAGAGGTTGCAATGAGCCAAGATTGCACCACTGCACTCCAGCCTGGATGACAGAGAAAGACTC